TCTGGAAGAGGGTGGAGTTCTCAAGGGTCGAGGCAAGCTCTGAAGAAGATTGTTGTTAGATATTTTTTTTTCTCCCTCTTTAGTTTCGTGAAAGGAGGGACGAATTGAACATACCCTTGTAGGCCTGCTCGAACTCGGGCTCGTGAGGAAGGTTAGACATTTTGAAGGGAGGATTGATTGAGAGAACTTTTAACTGGGGTATCTAGAAAACAGGAATATATAGAGAAAGATGAAAGAAAAAGAAGTAGTCTGAAGAAGAAAGAGAGAAGAGAGAGGGAGAGAAGAAAAAGAAGATGGCGAGGGGGAAAGGCCGATTTATGTTTTCGAGGAGGGGAGGGGCGAGGGCGGGGAGAGAGTCAGAATAGAGGGAGTGGATAGTATGAGAGGGAGAACAGCCGGAGTCGGACATAAAGTCCCCCCTCCCTCAGGCCATCCACTGTATAGTAAGTAGTGTAGGGAGTCTCCGCTGCAGGCGGGCATTTCCTGGCAACGCCCCAAACGGCAAATGATGCCGGCTTCCGGGGCGGGTTTAACGGTGGCGCCGAAGTTCGGGCTGTTAGTCGATACTTTGAGGTCACAGAATCTGTCCGTTATCTATCGGCGGGAATCCGCTGGCCCGCCCGCCAATGGCAGTTGCCCGCTCTGCCATCGGGAGGAATCGGGTGGCAACGGAAGTATTAGGGTAGGGTAAGGTAGGATTTTTTAATTGCTTTCGAAGCGAGAGAGAAAACTCTTCTCTTCATGATTATGAGCCATTGGTACAAGCCAGACAAGAATTCCTTTCCCTCGGAATCCATTAGTTAGTTTATTCCTATAGTATAAGCAACACGCCGTCGCAATCTAGACTTGCTGGAATCTGGAGAGAAACTCGCATTTGCCTGCACGCCAAGAGATCCTGCAGACTGGCGGATCACCTGATTACTCCTCTCCTATTGGCCTGGTTCCCCCCGCTGTATGGGAGGTGCTTATCAGATGTCCGGATTTCCTTTACCTACTCGTATCGTCAAATCCTCTGCACTCAGCCAATACAACCTCATCTTCCCTCTCTTTCCCCCTTCACTCTGTCTATCTATTTCCCCTCGTCACCCCCTCCCCGGAGATCATTCCTCCGAAATTAGGACACTATACAATTTACACAGACACGTTGCCTTCTCTCCCCATGTTCCCCGGTGAGCCCCGACGTGGGGGAATGGGCGGCAATCACGGTGATTCCCATACTTTAAAGCGTTGTCACGGTCGGACACGGTTCACTGGGCGGTCTGATCATGCGACCACCATGGGGAGTTCACCGGCGAGCCTGAATCAGTCTAAGTAGGTTTCTCATAGGAGAGAATTACAGGAATACACTTGGTTGCCAACCAGTCCAGGCGATGTCGGTGTCACATCACTGTCCCATTAGATTTAATCCGCTGCCTATAATGCTTGGAAATAGTGACTGGTAGGTAAAGAGTAATTGCAAGCGTCGGGGACTTCCTCTGGATGATTTTCTTGGAATTGGAGGTCCCCGATGCATGTGAATACTTGTAATTAAATAATAAAAACATGGGAAATTCAATCAAGAAGGGTATAACTAAATAACTTGTTGGAATGGTTTCTATAATTAATTATGGTTATTCAACGATTGAATTAGACTTACTCGATGCATTTACATAGTCACTCAAGGTGGTAGCATAGTCACTTGCAAATGTGGTAGCGCCGAGTTGCCGTTGCATGTCAAAGTTTCCCGACCCAACATGGAGTGGGACCCGGTTTTGCCTATCAGTTGCCTCGCTAATCCTTGCCGTACTGCCCCGGGCCAATCAGCGATCCACACTAACAAAGCATCATGATTCACACGCCGGCTCTTGCTCTCCCCACATCCCGGAATGCTAGTTGGAAGATCGCCAAGCGGACTAATGCATCCTTCTCTAACTCTGATATACTTTGAGGGGCGCAGGTTGGTCATGATGCTTGATGGGTCATTATTCATATTGATTGGGTGGAAGTGAGAGGAAAAAAGTTAATTGTGCCATCGTGGGGGCTGCGTGGGTTTGGGGGTGACTCGGTTCGGGAAGGTTTAAGTGCCGGGGATGGTTCGCTGGTTGGCCTGGTTCGAATCTGGGGTGCTGTTCATGGTGTCTGGTTCAGATGAACTATTTGCTACATATGGGGTGGATGATGAAAAGATGTGACTGTTAGCAGGATTAACTTTTGACTTGTTGTCTGTGCTGTCCGTGCTGCATGTGTATGTAACTATGTATGGGTGAATCCGATTCCTTCCGTAGTCCCTCTATGTGGTGGATGAATGCCTGACTCTTAGGGCATTCAACCACCAGTCTATCAATGAGGATGATGAATCCTCGATTATTTACTGCTTCAATTGCCTTTTTATATTGAATATTTCAGTCAAGTAGGTGTATAAAAATCCCCATTTCCTTCCACTGCTCTCTCCTCTTCTCCATCCCCATCCCCTTCAAGATCCGGACTCTATATGATATCCTCAACCACAGAACGGACTATCAGCCTATAACCCTACTTTATATACTCTTCATACTACCAGACTATACATGGTCTATCAACACTCCATTATAATCTTTCTATATTGATCACGCGGTCCACAAGTCTAAAGACCTATGAAGACAGGCAGCCAAAGAACGGAACAAACTACCACCGTTGAGCGGGCTTGCCCTAATCTTACAAACCAAGCCAGAAGAATAAATATATACCACATACCATCCTACGCATAAAAGGTCTCGGGCACCGATTTCTTCGAGGGTATAACCTCGATATGACCAAAGAACCGGTTCCTACTCGCTCATCACCCATGGCCAAGTTGAATCTTGCATGTACCAGAGGAGAGATAGCCAAATGTTCAACAGGCCCATCGGGAACATTTAGGCCGAGGAAGAGGTAGAGGATTCGACATATCATATCGACCATGTCGGGTATGCTCACTATAAAAGTACATCATACTTACTCTGGTACGTATCACAAGGGCATACAAAGCTACAAACTTATTGGTGCAATCACTAATGGGAAATCGTATAATATAGTATATATCCTAGCTCCTGAAACCGATGAAGAACTTGATCTGTGGTTGTGGCTGGGTTAGTGGAAATCCCACCGCTAAGCACATCCTCATGAAAGGGGATCATTCCTAGTCCGAATCTGGGACGTGATTTAATGAGGCTGGATACAGGACCCTAAAGGGGGCCCTGATAAAGATGCACAGCCACTATCATACAGAAAAGTCATCTCGACAGAAAAGGCCTAACCCTAACCACTGAAGATCTCGATACCAAGATTCACACGGCCGGACAACCCCGATAGCATTTGCCCGAGACATAAGAGGAAGACACTCTCGTCCCCTTCATCCGTCCAGCTTACTGGCCAGAAATAGACATGTGGCCATTTATCTTATGTGGAGGCTTTCTCGGACGGAATCCAACAATTTCGGAAGCTTGTCTGGCATGTCTGAGTCCTTCACCTACTTTGCTTTCTACCAGCATTCTGGTTCTTGATGGTCATGGTAACCCAGCATCGCCTCCAAACATGCCACTCGTCTGGATTCCCATCGATAACAGCATGAACCTGCTGGATGATGGGATACTCTGGTCAGATACTTCCCGACGTGAATATATTTTTATATAAAACGAGAGGCGCATTTCAAACTATCTCAGATGATTGTTTGATGCAAACCCCAGCCCTAGAAGGCACATATCATCATCCGAGAGATGAAAGGCCCTTCTGGAAGACACTCTGGACTACCCTGTACAGGTTCCAAGCCTGGCAAGACATTGGCTACAGCGTCCAAAACATCTAACAAGCATGATCCGAGACAAGATGTACGCTTTCACAATTCCACATCCTGGATATTAATATTCCCTGGATTCAGAAGACATAGAACTGCTGAGAGAGACACAACAATGCCTGCTCGATAGGAGAACTCACAGCTAGCCACGGCTACAAGTTATATATTTCAACATCCAAGAGATATTGAAAGAGGCCATTTCAAGATGGCTTAACCATCTCGGACAAGCCAACGGTCCCCGAAGATCTCCGGCGCCTAATTGTATCCACGGCGCAAACAGACGAGTTGCTTCAAGAGATCACAGATCCTCAGCTGAGAGCCTATAAAGGATCATCAAAATTATCCAAATCAAACTGGCGGCCATCACCAACTCTATCGCAATAAGGACACTGTCTTAATGTCAAACATTCCAGACGAGCTGGTCGGTCTCAAAGTTCGCTTTTACTAAGCGGGAAAATCCGATGAGGCTAGCAAAGACATCGGATGAAACATCAGATAACCAGACGACAACACAGAGCAGTTCCGTATCAGACATAACGTCCTGAACAGACTATTTAGCATTGGATGACGAGAAATCCAGACAAAAACCCTCGCAGTCAGACGAGGAGGGAAACGAAGTATCTCTGGCTGCAGAGGGAGCGACGTCGTGGGCTGCTATGAACACAGGGATCGAGTGACAGTTGTCCAATGGCGAAGATGGGCTTAAGGAACAGCCAGGAAAATCCCACCTCTCGCTCGAGAGCATTACCCTCGCCAAGTGGAGGATTCCGAGATATAGCACCGACAATGGAATGACCCGGTATGTTCCGTCGAGCTAGTACCTTGTCCCGCCCTATAAGTAGAGCATACCTTGGCCGCCCAACCACCAGAGAGCACATGGTCTGCGAGTAATCCTCTCCAATCTCTAGAGATCGATGGGATATCTCCTGGCTCGCAATATGTTGGGGCCGCGCTCGCGCTAGCTCAATACGTGGTTTCTGTCGGCTACTGGAGGGGCAGAATCAATGACGAGCAAATTGTAAATATTGCTCTCGAGACAGCGACTACTCTCATAGAATGCGGCTTTGGTGGTATCAGTGGCCAGCTCTCGGTCCGGCTTGCTTCTTATGGGATTTCTTAGTACAGTGACTAGATGCTATCCACTGTGCGCTTGTCTTTAATACCTACAGAACAACAAGCACCACAACCATGTTCAACTCGTCCAGACAACATGAAGAAGTATAACGATCCTCTCGCTCTGCTACCACTTCTGGATCGGTAAGCCCTGCAAAGTTGGAATCTACATCGGTACAACTGGCACCTCCTCGCGCGGACTGACGCTTACCCACGCCGCACACGTTATCTTGATGGAGACCAACTGGTGCAGCACGAACCACAAACAGGTGTTTGGCCGATGCCATCGGATCGATCAGAGAGCCAAAGTCGTGTTCGCATATGTTTTTAAAAGTACCCAAATCGAATGCGAGCAACTTACCCTCAAGAAGCATCTAGCAAGATTAGCACTGGAAAAGACAATAGACTCCTACAACCAAGAATGAACAATTATAACCACTCCCCCGGGGGTGGGGGGCCGCCGCAGCACCAGCGAACTGCAGAATCGAGAAAGACAGATCTCATAGAAATGCCTGTGGAGAGGGCTGTACAGTGGGAAGGATTGACGAATCAACTGAACAACTTACTGGAAATTGCTGTTGAATAAAGCGAGCAAATGAGAGCCATGAAGAACTCATGACAATTACACCCATACCTGCACAGTGGATACCTATCGCACCACTTCTTTAACCCCTATCTTCGGAGTCTGTTGCAGAAATTGCCGTATTCCGAAAAGGAAGACCCCGGGTGTCTTGTCCTCGTCGATAATCATGCTCGTGCTTCTGTGCTGTGCCGTCAATGCTCCGAGGAGAGAAAGACATGTATCACTGTATGTATCGCTCGATTCCTTTTGCTATACTGGATGCGAGGCTAACGTTGACTAGACCTCCGCGGGTATGCTTGGTAATGCTCACGATTTCGCCAATATTCTCGAGTGGCAAGTGGTTCTGATGGACTCAGACCAGTGGAATGCGGATGTTAAGCGTACTGTTCTCGAAGAGACATTGAACCTGGCTATCGCATTTGACTGTGCGGAGTCGGCCCATGCCCGTCAGTTTGGTCTGAAGGGAACCCGAAAGGCCGTTGGGGTATGAATATCTTATGATTCTTTGAACCGGTTCTCCTTAAGGCCCGTGACCATCTTAATGTGATACCCACAAGCTGAAGAGAGGGCTCATGTGTGCCATCGACAGACGACTGCTTAGGGCTGTGCAAGATATATACCCTGAAACAAGAGCCAGAACATATCGTCTGCCATTCAAGATTGCTAGCCCTGCTGCCCATGTTGATAAAACAATCCTTCTACAACACTGAATATGAGGAGGTTAGAAGCCAAACCAGTACCACCGAAGATGCCTAAAGAAACGGAAATGAAGGACGAGTCTACCCAAGTAGGATGGACGACCGACTTGCTCCCCAAGGTGTCGACCACTACAGGCGCAATAGTAACGCAAGCCTTCGAGCCGGTTTATTTTAAGCCAGAAATGGGGAATAGTTTCTGGAAGTTTGCTACTGCAGATGGCCAGACATCGCTCAACAGACATGTTGATGTTGTATGATGCTTTGCCTAAAACATCTGGAACCGTTCATCTTGATTAGCAGCAGCAGAAGAGAGGAATTTCTCTACAATCAAATCGCATCATTGGTTTTGAAACTGCTATGACAAATATCAAATAGACGTGTGACATTAACCTTTCACACAATGACCCATCCTCGTTGGCCTTTTGCGCATTAGGACTGTCTGTGTCTGCATGACCGCCATGTCTAGCTGTCATACAATCCCGCGCGATGTGGACGAGGTTGATCCCTTCCGGACAGTACAGCACATATTAAGGGTATTATCGACCTGGATCATGCTCAACAAGACTCAAAAGACCTCAGATTCATATGCGATGGTTGACGAAAACAACGACAAATTGTCAGAGGATGCGACATGTTTCCCATCAGTTATTATGTGAACGCTGCAGGGTCAAACCTCCAGAACTCGTGTCACAACACACACAAGTTTGATACCCCTACCTCACAAGCTATCCCGGATCTTGTGGCCACTTTGAATTGGGAGCTTCTCAGAGCATCACGTCCACCGATCATGGTTTCAGGCTTCCCGGCCGACTGACCATTGAAGTGGCATGAGACATGCATAATCCCACGAAACTAGTATATAACGAGAACGAAGTCGAAAGGCGACCTACGCTTTTCCTCGTTCATTATATGCCTATGCATATCTCACTGTCGAACATCGACCACCCGTTGCTACCGGGGTTCCAGCAACACGCTCGCCAACAGAGTGCAAACCTACGTAGAGATGCAGCAGAAATTATGAGTCTGTTCATTCTGTGCTTGTTTCTCGTGCCCTGATATATGGTCAAGAGTTAAAAGTACTGGCGATGTGGCCGCTGATAGCAAGAATATCGCCTGGCACATCACCATGTAAAGCTCCCCTTGCATGAGCTTTCCAGATACCAGCGATCTCTATATATATGGTATCAAGCTGTACGAAGCACGGACATGTGTATTACGAACAGATTGACTATCTGAAGTCCCAGCTAACATCGTCGTTCCGCGCCATCTCTTCGAGGAACGATCAAGCAGCTGTGTCCAACCGGTTACTACTTTCCGATAATTCGGTAACTTTCTTCATCTGGGTATACCCAATATGGGACAGTCATCTGCGTGGCGGACGACTGAGGCATTGCCTGCGGGCCCTGTTGCTACTAAAATTGGCAAAGCAACGACAATCTGAATAGTGCACTTTGGCTCCGTCTTCTGCTGCGGCACCTGCTCCTGCTGTCGCGGTAAGTTATCCGCTCCCGCGGGTGCATGCGCGAGGCTAATAACAAGCAGCCTCTGTTGCCTGAGGTGGGCTTCACTCCTGTTACCTCTATGTAAGGGCGAAACGGTGATTTTTTCGAATGTGTTGGCCGCCCCGGTCACCAAGGGTGCTTGGGTCCGCGGACCAGCCCCGTATCCCGCGGGCACTCCTAAGGCTCAGTGAGATCGTTCTATCGCGCAGCGGGTGAAAATCGCAGTCTGGGCTTCGTCCCAATTCGTGGATCTGCCTGCGGCAATCTGGCTCGCCAGAATGTCCGCGGAGCACCCAGCCGTGCTGCAGGACTCCCTCCCTGGAGAGGGCAGCAGCTCCTCTTTGGTCAAGAACGCCGCTGGATTGCGGAGCCGGTTCTGTGTTCAGTGCACTTCTCATGCCCCAGTATCAGGTTATCGGGGGTGAAAATTCCCAGACATTGGTGCCTCGCCCTACAATTTGAATCTAGCAGCCACAGCCAACTTCATCGTCGGGACAGACAAGACGTCATAACAAGCAGTTTGAAGCTCTCGACTGTGTTCTGGGAAAAGCCCGAACAAGATGTGGGTATGTTTACTATGTTCAACCCAGAGGCCTATGCTGAGGCCGCTCCGCAAAGTCATATTCAAGCGGTGACTAAAACGGTCCATGGGCTGCGAATATACCTTTCACCCTATCTCGTTGAAGCGACTGAGGTGGTCTACTGATGGCTGGGTATGAATGTTGGCTTATTTCTTACACCCTCTCTACAATGTAGCCCTAAGCGGCTACTACCTTTGCGCCATCCGTCGGTTGTTCATCTTATACCCTTGAGCTGGTGTTCCTGTCGAGAAAGTCTCGTGCAGATGATATATCTACGTTGTGTACATGTCCTGCATCAGCATGTCTCCCAGGAATTGATCGTAAGACCACTCAGCAAGCGTCGAAGGATGCCTCAAGACCCAATCTTGTTGCTGTTGTCCCATTGAACATGCAGTGCCATGATGGACCCACCAGGAGAGAACTCGCAATAGAGACATGGGGTACCACAAATATCTGCCATGCAAATGGCCTGGACTTAGACGTTCAATGCACAGAAGTGGCTGCTCGAAGTTCTTCGTGCTGTTGTCAGCCTCTCTCGTTTACGTCTCTTCCTTTACATCTTGGGTCCATGTCTGCTAGAAAATGCAACCTGCGTGCTTCAGGTACCGCGGCAGGCTGGCAGCGTGTATCGTGCTTGCATTAGTTTAGCATCTATACCATCCCTTGACCAAGCGCAAACAGGCAACGAATCTATCGTGTGCCTGGTTTGGTAGATGGTATGATCAACGAGATGATAACAGGAAATCAATGCGGTATGGATATGGATATGGACATATATTGGCCGAGAGGAATCGAGATTCTGTCCAAAGATTACTGGATTTAAGTATTTTCGTTTTGATGGTCGATCGTTCGTTCCAGGAAGGACACAGAAATAATCTGTCTCATTGGCATGACTGTGCATATGCAACCTTAATCTGGCGTCCAACAACAACTGCATTACTAGATGAAGAACCTATCCACGAAACTCACAGGTGTTTCCAAATATATATCATGTTCCACTCTTCGAAATAGCACCCTCTACTTACTACATATATCTACCCCATATATGGTGTAGAGCGAGTCCTTCACCCACTAACAGCCCATTAAACGGCAGGCGAATGTCCTTATAACCAGAACTTGCCAGGTCCATATCTATATCCATGAAGTCATCGTGGTCGAAGCCATGCGGTCTTCGAACTCAACCTTACATTGACAGAGCGACTATATAAGATTATCTGCATTGAGATGCTCGTGCTAACCCGTATGTACCAATGCAATGTTGCAATCTATGCCACAAGGTATTAGTCGAAGAGATGGATTATCAACCGTCTTCCCGTACCTGAGGGTTTCTTCTGGCTATAATGATCCCTACAAGATCTCCTTCGCAATGGTCTTCTCATCGTCTTCCTGGGCGAGGGCTTACCTTTCGGCCACAATATTATCGGCAATGTAAATTCGAGGATGATTCGTTCGAAGAATACAGATCTGCGAGGCACTCACAGACTGTGCCACGAATCGCACAGACTATGTGCGGAGTTGCAGCACTCCCCGTTGGCGACAGACACTTTCACCACAAATGTATACATGATAACTATCTGGGAGACTACTGGATCTCTGTCTCTCCGGGACTAGACATGAGTTGGCAAAATCCTTGAGCGACACGCTACACTGTATATCTTCTGTGGCTCCTCGGCCACTGCCGGCTGCGCTTTTTCTATACATATTGACGGATGCATTAGTCTAGCAAGATGATGTCCAGAGCGAACGTTTCAGGGCAGCGACTACGACAGGCCTTGGAAGGTCGTATTCGAATCTTGTAAGCCTGACAGATCAGATCTATCTGAGCGATGATGAAAATATAAGCCAGTGTACACAACCTGAAAGATTGAGCATGGCGCGGCGCATCGCATATGGCATCCCAGCAGAGATTGTTGTCATGTTTTCTGGCCTGCTTGCCACAGAATGACCTGACGCAGGTCGTGCTGGTGTGCAAGAACTGGTACGAGAGGTGGGTTTCAAGAGGTATATATTCGTGCTAAGCAAACGAACCTGCGTTGGTTGAGAAACTGAGAAAATGCGAGGAACTAGCCACATGTGCTACAAGATCTCCTTGGCTTTATAGTCGTTTCTTGCCCTTCCTAGCACAGGATGACCTGGCACCGGTCTTTTGATTATCCAAGGCTTGGTACGAGATATGGTTGAAGAAGATACGAACCCGTGCGTTGCCGCGGTTTGGTTATTACAACTTCACACTATTCTCTGCTTTGCAAAGGAAGAGCAGGCCAAGTTGGCAGCAGAGGCCGGGGTGACTTTATCACCCTATCTATTAATACCAATCTGGTTTTGATTACAACTGTTCTCGTCCAATTTATATCAGGGACACTGGCTGGAACAGTGCTCGTCATAATCCAATCAGGAGACTCATACTTTGCAGTCGTCTTCGGGCAAACCTAGCAGATAGCAGAGGGTCAAGTCTATGGAAAGACCGCAAAATTCCCCATAAACATGGATAACCACATGGCCTACCCGTTTAGGAATGAAACTGCCAAAGAGGCGAGTGCTTGAGCAGTGACGAATGGGTATCCAGACACCTTAAAATATATCGTGGAAGCAGTCCAGAAGTTACTGGCATAAGAAAACTCTTGTCGCTATCAGGGCACTGTGCTAAAGGTATGTTCTAGGAGAGCTGAAGACATCGGCGTTCCGCGTCCCGGTCACCCACAGTCCAGCATTTTCAATGGGCGTTGGTGTTAGGGAACGTATTGTTGTCCGCTCCTTATAACATCGAAGCAACTCCCCGGTACGGGGGTGATGGTACCGCAAGGACATATTGGGATGTTTCATCACATCCTCCCGCGGACCATCAATGGCAAAAACTGCGCAGCTCGGTTGAGACAGCTACTGAAACATCTTGTGGTCAGAAGAAGCATACCCTGAGCAGTACCGATTGGCTCTAAGCGTACCACTGGACGTGACATCCCGCCTATGGTGAGGAAGGTAGATGAAGAACAACTTACTGTAGAGGAGCTAGAAGCATATGATGCATATTGGGAAAAGTAGTGAGACATAGGCTTTTTGAAAAATGCCACGCTACAAGAGTGTGTGAAGAGAAACAGTGGCTGCTAACATGTAAGTAAACCGACATGAGGCTTGAAGCTTAACCTTCACATTACTGACTTGCAATAGGGCTGGAGCTGCGAGGAATGGTTTCCTCCATAAATACCCCACTGCTTACAAGGACGAAAAGCAACTGACAGTCCTGTGAAAGAGGCCATTGTACAGATAAAACCTGAATATTTTGCACATGATGACTGCGGCCGCCTCGTGGTTCTTACCACTGCCGGGAGCTATGAATGATGTTATATTCTCCATGTCACGCTATCATATCAGCACACACAGAGAAAGAACAAGAAAACTTTTTTTTCAGGTTTCTGTTATTCAATACCATTGAATCCTGGTGGCCCGGATGTTTCGGAATGAGTATCACACGAGCTTTAATAACTCTTCATCTATTGTCAGACAGCTACAGGTGTTAGCGGAGTGTTGGGGCCCCGCCCACTGGTTCCTGTTAGTGGTTTCCTGCCTGGATTCGCCAAGGAACATGGCGGCGTTTATGCGGTTGATTAACAGCGGAGTGGTACGATGATCTGTGCACTCGCGACTATGATGCTAGAGTCCTGATATAGATTAAGAGTGTATACCAATGTGCTGGGCCTGAGATTCCTGAGTTTAATGAAATCTTATTATGCCTCGGTGATTTCTTACTGCAAAAGATCTTCCTCAAGCGGTTGCAGAAATTTGTTTGGTTCAGCCAGCACTGCCTTGACTTTCCTGAACTGAAAATAAAAAAAGTTAATACTTCATTATTGTCAGATGACCAGACTCTGATTCAGGAGATGTATGCTATCTACTACGGTGGTATCCAGCCAGCCTTGGACATGTATCACGCCCGGAATAGAAATATAGATATAGTCCTTTCAGTCCAGACTCAAGAGCATGACACGACACAGGCCCTCTCCATTAATATGATCTTTCCTGGGTTCCTCTTCCTCCATCTCCTGCGGAAGAATAGCTGGTGGTTAACTGATACTCCTAGCACACAGGATTATCTGTATACGGAGGGGGGTCATACCAGATAATGAGGAGAGCTGGTTGGCCTGCGACATCAATGCTGTAATCGAGGGATCTTTCCACTGGAAGAAAGTCCGGGAGATCATCGAGAACATGGACAAAGGCCAAGACAGATACAGAAAGGTTCAGCGGTCATCCTGGGTTGGCAAGATTGCACCCATCAAGTGTACGGAATAGAACTATATTACACACATTAAGAGACGGAAAGCAACATACACCATACCAATAACTAGCTAACTAGATCTATCAAATACACAGTAGCAATCATTATCTACTGAATCAGATTAGTAAGGTAGACAGATCCGATACATCAATACCGGATGACAGTAACGTAACTTATGTACCGTTGTCAGATACAGCAGTGTGGGTAATAATACATCCGTAATCCGAGACATCTCCGGCGTTAATACCATGTGGATTCTGTCTCCTCGACTCAGAGCTACATCGTCGTCGCTATATAGGAAGTATACATGAGATTCATGGTCTCAGTGTCCACAGATTGTAGTTATAAAACACCATATGTTATAACTTATTGTGTATATATACTACCTCATATAAATCACCATCATAGTACAATATACTCCCCCGAAATCCTCATCCACACAGCCCAACAACCCAACCACAGCATAGCTCCCATAGTATCCTATCCGACAACCTACTATAACCAGTTCCATTCCAGTCTAGTCTAACCTAACCCAGCCTACCCTAACCCAACTCCCACTCCACTTCCCATCCCCCCCGTAGTTAGTTATAGTAAGTTTCCACATATCTCCCCTCCCCCCTCCCACCGAGTCCAGTCCAGTTCAGTCCAGTCCAAGTCCCCGCCCTTCAGCCGCGCCACAAACTACCACTCCCGGCATCCCCATCGAAAACTCCAGAAGAAGTTTATTCATTCATAGCGGCTTTCCCCCTATCCCTACTTACTCACCTATCTACCTACCTATTTACTTCTCTGTAACTAATTAAGTAGTTCACGCTCGGTCCTGTTTCATACTAGTTAGAATTTTCGGGATTTGAAGCCTCTCACATACATACATACGTACATATATAGCATAAGTAGCATACATATGAGTTAAATTAATTTACGCGTTATGTTATTAGGAGTCTTTGTTTGTAGGCAACCAAGCTGAACTAACATACTACATACACCTCGGTAGTTAGTTCAGTTCAGTTCAGTATGTGATTAGTAAAATAAAGAAAGCGAAAAGACTTGGCTCAGCCAGCCATCACAATCACATTAGCCCCATTTTCAACGATAATATGACGGTAAGTTCACTACTCCGGTGAGTTTTTCTCGAATGTGGAGATGAAGGTTGGATGGATGGATGGTGGTTTGAAGCGGGTATGTCGGATCGAAGATGGAGGGATGCCGATGCCCTACCTTTCCTTTACTGGGCGAAATCTTTGTTGTCCTCCCTCGCATCGTGGTACATACTAATCTTGGTACGACCGTTGATTGACTTGCTTGGTAAGCCCATCAATCATTTAACGGAAATGGATAATTGATCTAGTTTAAGTATTTGCAGGTAGAGATGTAGCCGTACCATATCGGGAGTTCCGCTGGATAGATAGACTAGATGGTTACTGTGATAGGTAGTGAGGAACCGGTGGGGCGGGGCTCTCGGTCGGGTTCATCGGCAATCGTGGATATAACTATAACAAAACTGTATCTACGGAGTAGTTACTTACTTCGTATGTGAGTATAGGGATAGTTCGGATGTAGGTGACTATCTTATGTTCTACAGGAGAGGATGATGATGATGATGATCTCCGGACTAATGTCGCGGTCCGTCGGATGGCGTTGGTGTCAGGGGTGGCGCCGTTTCAGGCATCAGAGGTTCGAAAAAGAAGGGCTCGGCTTCGTGGAGGCCTGACCGGACTGACGCGCTAGTTTACTTACTTAGCCTAGTAGACTTGACTAAGGTGAACTGCGTACTATCTAACATCATGACTATCGGAGCTGCTACCCGACGCGCGCAGGGGGGTAGGGGTGGCGGTGGGACTGTCAGGTACCCTACTTACTCTACCTGAAGCGCGTTTTCCTTGTTGGATAACGCGTTCATGGGCTGAATAGGGGCTAGGAAGGGATGAATGTTTGATTGATTGATTGATTGGTTTCACTGGTTATTTTCGGTTGTTTTATTTCAATTGTTGTTCTGTGGTATCTTTGACCCCTTGCGAGGTGTTCGCACGGCTCCCTCAATAATTGAAGCCAGAACACCATTATGTGGTCCCGCGATGTCTATCGCACTCATGATTCAAAATATCGTATGATCGTTATCTCATGCTATGAGACTCACCAACTCCGTGCTACCGCCAGCGTGGCTAGTGTTGGGTTAAAGCAGCGTAAATGGGACAGAAAAGCAGATAGCAAAAGTATGCAGAAAAGAAGAAAGGAAAAAAAAAAGCCGGAAAGAAGCCCCAGCACCCTATAATAAAGAATTACCCTCGTGAGCTGTGATGTCGTGAAATTTGTGAGGATGAGTCTTGAAGAACGTCAGGCGCTCGAGGCCCTACCATCCAGTCTTCCATGGCGAGCCATTCGCTCCAACTCCGCTCCGCCGCCTCAATCTCCGAATCTAGCGGTCCCTGTAAGGGACGTAGGAACGGTATTGTCTCGAGCGGTGGCATGTCATAGTCCTTTTTAACGGCCGCCCAGCCACCACTCTTCGCGGCGAACAGGTAATTGCGCCGTTCTTGCTCGTGTAGAGGTCCAATGCCCGCACCCCATTCGTCCCCAAAAAAACCGTGCAACACGCCAGGGAAATCCATTCCCGTGGCCACCAGGCGGCGGATGTATGGAATCAATGAGACAGAGGGAGGTGGATTCGAGGCAGGTGAGGATGTAGATGACTGGCTAGCGGCGGATCGGGATGGGTCGGTATGAGAGTTTACGACAGGGTTTGACTGCCATTGGAACGGGAGACGGATGTTCAAGAAAGCCGAGAGTGCTTGGACTGCATCACTGTGTTGCGCATGATCTAGAAAGTATCGCTGGCAGCTTTGGTATCGAGGGTGCCACTGGAAGATGTCAAAGTTGTCGCCTGCTGACGCTTGGGCCAGTCCCACCATCGCAGCCGAGTTGAATTGCTGGAAGTCATGCATTGGGGAGCCGGACGAAGGTTTACTCGAGTTTCGAGGATTCCTGCGCAAAAAAGAGACTTAGTCACTTGCTTCCACAACCGTTTGTCTTTGCTCGTGGCCCGCTTTCACCATTGTCCAACGGAGCGATTGACGCCGGAGACGAAGGTAACAGCGAAATGAACAACCCCGTAGTAAGACTATGGGGCATAAATCGCGAGAATCCTAGAACCCAAGTGACTGAAAAGTCAATGAGACCGTACCTGCTGGAGAATATACTCCGACCACGACGGAGGAGAGAGACTCGGTGTCGCGGGGTAGGAGTCGGGGAGGGCGATGGGGAGGAGCGAAACAGAGTCCTGATCGCGAAACCTAGTCCTCTACCCGAGTGAGATTCATTCATGGACATCTGCTAAGCGTGATCCATTTATGAGGGGAAACAGGCGCAGCTCATGACAGAGCATGGGTTCGAGGCCAAGGAGGGGAAGGAGAGAGCGGGTGGATGAGGTAGCTGGAGGGGACAAGGCTTTATAGAAAGAGAGTCCATTGAAGAGATGAAACGGGGGGTATGCGACATACATAAATCCTCGGACCCAAAGAAAGGAAGAGGCAGTGAATTGAGAATGGAACGGCCGAAGGAGAAAAAAGAGTCAGATTGCGGAGCAGCGCTGGTAAGTGGACGTAAGTAGTCCTGTATATTGTTTGGGACCTGACGAGCGACTAGAACCAGAACGGGTGTACCCGATAGGGTCACGTAGGCAGTACCGGTCAACTTCTCGGTTTGGGTTGGGCTGGACTGGTGGATGAGAAAAAGAGGGTTGTGGTTTTCTCGAGAATCTGTATCATATAAATAAGAAGGTTCTGATACTTTCTTTTTTATTTTTATCTTTCTTTTTTGGCATTAAATATTTTTTTTAATGATATTTTTTTTGTCTTTCTTTTTTTTCGATCAATTTTAATTCGGGTTGATGGGATTTTTTTAGGCCACAGCCAATAATGATTTTTTAGTGAGCAGCAAGCAATAAATCCCAGTGCTAAACCCTCCACCCCCAAACTAGGCAGTGGTCCGTTGGGAACAGGGCAACATTGGTTTAGTTCTGAGCGGAATCTTACCCGTGGTAATCCATCAAACCGCATACCCGATCACTTTCATGAAAAAAAGTTTAAGAATATAAAAAGAAGAAAAAAGAGGGAAGCAAAGTGGTAAAATAAAATATATAAAATGAATAAAATTTAGAATGAGAAAATAAATCAATAAGAGGATAAATTGTATTACCTTTGTTACATACATAAAAAGTTGGCAAGACTGATAGATTTCATGCTTCGTTTTTTCCCCTGCCCAAAAATAAAAAAGGCAAAACCAGGTACGGCCATCAGAACCCGGGAAAGGGAGGGCAGACTAGTGTAGGGAAAGGGTGTGTGGTGGTGCCCCGTACCTTAGCAGCTCCGCCCTTAGCGGGATGGCAAAAAGCGCTGGTCATCGCGTGTCCTTTTGGGCTGGTGGACCCGGAAAAATGCTGATAGGCCCGTCGCTCAGATCGAAAGATATCCGTGCAGCTGCACCAAGTCTCCCAAGTACTTACGTTTCGACTTCTTAGCAGTGGTGGTAGTGAGATTAACAGCATCCCTTAATCGGTGCCTTCGACAGCGGTCAGATCTTGAGCTGCATCGCCTTCTGAAACTGCACCCGGCTCAGTTGGGTAAGCTGTGGGATGCCGGCGACATCCTTCGCATGCGGTGGGTGTTGAATCTCCGTGCAGTCGGAGAGAGTACTCGGCCTGGACGATCAAGTATCATGAAGATGAATTCTACCAGGGTACTGCAAAGAAGAAAAATATAAGGAAACGGAAACGGAAAAGAAAAAGAAAAAGGGAAACTGTGCGAGACGTGAGATCGTCCATCCGATCCTAATCCGACCCAGTATCTCTCCCGCTGTATGCTGACGGTACCAGACCTTCCCGGGCCCCATTTGTTACCGTGGTCGGTAACAACCATCAGCATCCATGCCAAATGATGACACGGTGCCCAGTCCATCGGGTTCAAGATGGCCAGTCTAAATGGCGATGAGGTCCGGGGACTGCCCCATCACCAATCATCCTTCCTGTCAGCCATGTGTCCTTGGCACTTGCCGTATTATCAAGCCAACGAACCCCTTCGGCTTCAGCTTCAGTATCCCAGTTCGCATCGCTCATCTTCGCGAAGGATGCGGTGTAAGTGGCGTTCTCATAGTCTTGTGTGCTAGTAGTGCATGCGGCGGTCAGGAACCCCTTCCCTGGACTATCAGCTGTGGGATGGTGATTGATTTTCCTTGCCTTTCCTGTCTAGAAGCCTTCGAGTCCAAGCCGCCTGGCAGACCCATTCTCGAGTTGGTGCCATAAACTGGCCCGACAGATGCGAAAAGAGGAATTACTGTGCTAATGCATGTTGGAGTTTTAGCGGGGTGCAGCATCGACAGCGCAATGCCATCCTGCTGTTCTGTTCTTTTCTTTTTCTTCTTTATGCTTGCCAACCTGTGTTACGTCCATTGACTATCAGGGAGGTCTCGTAATCAGCACCCCGATCTCTCATACCATTGCCTTGATCTGTTGGCTACTGGAAGGCACAAGCAATAGTAAAGTTGAATCTCTCAATACCACAGATTAGTTTCATGGACTGAAATTGCCAACATAGGTAGGATGATGAGCTGGTCATCGGCCACGACTCCAATTCACCAGCCGTGTGAACCACCAGCCAACGCAGGATGAGTCCTCGACGCCTTCGTAGCCTCTACGACAATGACCTTGTCATTGCTTTAGTCTTGACATCTTTCATGCAAAGTATCGAGAAGCTCAAAACTCTGGAGTAAACCAGAAAATGCCGAAGAAGCAGAATTAAGTCCGACCTGACTACCAATAAGAAGACGTTACTTGCTGGATAGTAAGACCGAGACAGCCAGCTGACCCGCAGTCATGCAGGTCAATAACTCCCACAGGGCTTGCTGGCGAGGGTAAGTAGGTATGGTAATTAATGTACTATACGGTCGGGCACTCGGTAAGGATGTGGTCCCCGATCACTGAACTTCCTCCTTCTCACTTCCCCCTCTCGGTGCTAGCTTCAAGGACGGGGTTCCCTGATTTAACTATCACTTCCGTATTGCTTCGGCGTCTTACCAGAAAGCACGAACTACTCGATCTTAGGTGGATTCGGGCCACCAGTGAGCCAGCGAGCCTTTGCTAATCAATTCAATCCCACTGTAGGGTCCGCTTGGCTGCCTTCCAGCTCAACTAAGCTAATGCCACAGAATTTGCCACTCCGTGACGCCGCGGCCTTCTTGACACCAGCCCCAGATCCACTCACTGCAATAGCGAGGCCGTTTCTGCACCTTACTGGTCGAGCTATTGTGTTACTGAACCATTGGTAAGGTCGATGCGCTGATGACGTCCCGCCTCTCTCTCTCTATTGATGTTTTCCCCTATTCGGCCAGCTCGCATCGTAGCTGAGCTGATACAGGCAGAAGAATTCATACGCGGCGAAACAAAAGAAATTACTCGACTGATGTATCAGCTATCAATCCTGACCGAGGTCCAGGATATGCCACGCAGCTGGTGAATTGATACTTTTCAGTAGACCAACTTGTGGCTCCGATAGCAACAAATGCACGCATGTTCACAGCATGAAACCGGGACAGCAGAAGAAAGAAAACCCGGATGAGCGGTGAGAAAAGCATCCCAAAACAAGCACCAACCAGCTATTCACACCTTGCGGCTTACGAGACGCCATGCTCAAGGTGCAGGTGATATGCATTCGTCTTTCGGGCGGCTTTGACAGATACCTGGCAAAACAATGTGGTGCGATGCTGCTGGGTCGTATCTCTGCTCTGCGAACCATAACTCACTGTGGCTTACTTGGTCGGTGGCTTGATCATTATGTTACCGTTGGTGGATCTGAGATGGCATTTGCTTTTTCCCTATCTAGGTCCCGGTGCGCATGGCTCCAAACAGGTTAAGTGCTTACAATATCAATGTTGTCCAATGCTTTTCGTGCGCTTAGCACGCCTTACCGCACAACACACCACGGAGTCAATGCGAGATGACCGTTAACCGCGTTATATGACACCGGTATTGTTGGGGTAGAGGCCACTTTCCATGTCCGCCAGGAGAGGCCGGTTCCAAGGAAAACAATTCCGATGTTTACTGGAAAAGGAATGTTCGGCCGTTTGCATACCAATATAACAAAGACTTCTCCCTGGTGTACACAGTATTCTGGTTGCAAACTATGCAAGGTGAGACTACCTAAGTCTCAACTATTTGCTCCTTCTGGGTTTTTCGAATTACCGCCGGCCTATCAATGGGGCAGCGTCACCACACCAATTCCCGGAATTCACGAAGAGAATGTATGCACGAGCACGTTCAACCTATCCACCATGACAGTTCCAGGCCATCCAATTGGCTGCTCGATAATCTAAAGCTGCATAATGCATTGTGCTCATGTTTGACTTCGCATGCGCCTTTGCCACCGAAAATTGACCCGTCGCGCGGCCGCAACCTGAGCGGAGAGAAACTAATGGAAGTGTGACATCTCACTTAGGCAAGCAAATACGGGCTCGGAGCCGACAATCTCCAGGCAACTATTGGAGGTGGACACCGTATGTAGGGGATGATCGGAGCTTACTTGGGTTATGCATGTTTTTCTTTTACTCTTACCTTTTTCATAGGGTGTAACTTACCGTTCGGCCCTGTATCTGAAACTCTCTATTGGCCGACTCGATTTATACTCTGAGTATCCCCTCTCCTTACCATCCCCAGGAAAGATATCATCCTGACCGACTGAATTGGTACCTGCTTGTTCTTTGCCGACCGAGCTCATTCTAACTCACATAGCATAGAGATCTTCGCCCACGATACTACCTACAGCAAGCGAACAAATCTGGCCAGACGGCGACCCCGACGCCACAGCGATCGACATCACAGCCACGGCATGTTTTGCCACCGTGGCGGGGCTGTTCTCTCCAGCCACATATTATTGCCACTAGTCTGCACTAGCCACAGATCTCTGCAAGGATCAAGGGTTTGCCAGCCACACTAGCTGCTGTTAGTGTTGCGATGTTGCAGATGTTGACCGAACTCTGATGCTGTCTCAAGCATGTGGCTCTGATCCGTCAAGGTGGGTGAAGACTTTACTGGATTTTGTGGGCTGCTAGTGCTAATAGTAAACAATAGTGACCAAAGACCGCTTTACCGACCATCTGTGTCTTTCTGATCGGCGTTGTGATGAATGTCAATATATTCGTTTACGCAGGTGACATGACGATCACCAGAGTGGAAATGCATTACCACCTCATGAATAGGCTTTGACAGCCTAGTCCCGTGTGTTCCATCCCGCATAAACGAAGCGTCAATAGCAGGGCGCTTAAGCAAGGCTCACCTACCTGCTAGGAACGTGCAATGAACCAAGACGATTCGGCAAGATATCAAGGGATTATTCGGTCTTTCGATGAGAGTCATCCGTCTCTGCCACGGTAGAGCGGTGTCAAGCAGGGGAGTATCCTTGTCTGTAACGTAATGCCTCAACGCATTTCGACAACAATTGCTTCACTGGTGCTTCCTCGCGCATAGTGGGGGATGTACAGCATCATGCCAATGCTCTTTGCAAATCCTGATTATTCTTGGCTTCAATGCAAAGACACGAGAAGTTGGCCCAATTTCGTCTATCACTGCATAACAGTGCCGACGATTACCTACGCCTACTGGCCTTCAATTTCTCCATGCAGTATACCAAATGAATTGACAGACGACGTGGAGACATTACGGTTACTGGATTGCCGCTAACCTTCAAGTCTTGGAAGCAAGTCTACAGTCTTGCCGTGAATGTGGGCCATAGTGTGGAATAACTTCCGAGACAGCCTCGTGATGATATCCTCCTGGCGCTTCTTCGACTCGAGCCAATCATATCCGGCAGCGCTGAACACACCGTCCCTAAACTGTCAAACGTCTATTCTATCGTTATACGACATGATAGGAATCGCATGGTGAGTCACTGATATATGACAACTTATTCCGTTGAAGAGGAAGCCCAACGGCCGGATTCAGAGTGTCGCAGGAGACTCAAGAGCCGCACTTGCGCTGGGCTTTTGGATCGTAGCATGTGAGTCCCTTGCTTTTTTGTTTAACCGAGAGTCACACCGACTTACCAATTGAGGGCCCAGGTCAAACTAAATACTAAATCGCGCCGACAGGCCTAGGATTCGGGATTTGGTGTGCACGAGGAACCCATGAGCCTCATCTGTAAGCGTTTCGCTTATTTATTTCAGAGTCTGTTGCTCGCTGTTATCATTGGTATATTCTTAGTGAAAGGTAGGGTCAAACCTCCGGTCCACCGACTCGGCCACTACAGGAAAGTTAGGTGTGCCTTGCCCGCGGGTTTACGGCAACTCAGACATTTCCAAACACCAACTGAGGAGATCTTTTCGAGTCAGGAACTCTCTTAACAGACTGTGATTGGCACACGATCGCTGAGCTATACCAAGGAGCTTACTTTAGGCTCGCCAATGATCATAGCATGTTCCTCAATGTCCTCACACAGGCAGCCTCCGAGGGACCATTTAATTCATACTTATACCGGGTAAAGAATTAAATCCCCCCCTCTTTCCCGAATGAGCGCCTCTATACTCAATCTGAAACGAAACGGTCAATGGATCCTTGGGTCCAGCAATCCGTCCACCGCGGCAGACCAACCAACCACGATCGATAGGTATGTGACGTACTTTACACATGCCCCTGGCACTTCTCTCGGCTCAAATTTGGTGCTCAGTTGACCTTTGACTTTTTTGGTTAGATGTTGTTACTATCCCCTTAGGAAAGGGGAAATCTGAAAAGGGAAGGATGATCGCCATTGACCTAGCCGTCGGTCATATTTCCTTTCGAGCACTTGCACTTTGCCGCTTAGTCGTATCAGATTACTGCTCTTTCGCCGATTGGTAACATTTTCGTATGTTCGGACTCAGACTCAGCTGATTACTAACCAACTCCCAACACTTCATCCGATCCATCGGAAGTGCTATAGTAGATTTGTTCGGAGATCTCCGTCTCTTCTGAAAGAGCATTTACCCATCTGTGCTGCGGCGTGTGGTGTGTATGCTGCTTTGACTGTTTTAGCTTCCAAACGAACGAATATACGATTTCTCTTATGTCAAGTCAATCGGTCGCCGTACCTGTCATGTAGGCAACTGAACAGTGCAGATAGCGGGTGAGTCAAGGCGCCGGACTCGGAGAATTTGTCGAGTCAGGTTCTGTCATGTTGCGACGCGTCATTGAAGGTCGAGGGGTCATAGCTCGTTACATACGTATTACCAACTATACGTAAGTTGGAGTTACAATACCCCTGATGTTGACTATTCACAACCTTGTTATTGAACTTAATAACTTATAGAACAGCCAGTATATGCTAATATGCACAATATACTTATTAGTGCTAGAGAAAACGTATATATGCTTGAATCCAGCTATGACAACATATATACATTGTTACCGTGTATACCCATCGAACAATACCGAAAGTAATACAAGATCGATCGGACCGGAACTGAATCTTACTAGTACCCGTACCGGAGATGGGACAGTATTTCCGACGGGCAATTCTTACCCACATATGCAAGATCGCCGCTCAGTGACCCCTCGCCCACCAAACTCTAAAACTTTACTAGGTAGGAATTCCGGGCATGTTCTTAGGAGAGAGATGTGCAAATTGCGAGTCAGAAGCTATGATTCAGTAGAGTACCCTGCATTATTGGTGAAAGCAAAACACAGCACAGACTTCCAGTAATAGTAGTTGCCTTTATAATTAATAACCTAACTAGCCTGTCAATCAGCATTGACCATCACTATACCAAGTGCTACTAACATATTATTCTATACTCTTCACATATACTACTATGGTACCATACACACACAACAATACTACTACTTTGAAATTTTACAAAGTAAATCCATGTGTCAAGGAAATACAATTCCGAGTACCCCCGATATGGTACCTTTCTCTCGGCCGGGAGAGAAAGAAAAAGAGCGAGAGAGAAATCTCGTCAGACAACCCGTTTCTGGCATCTGGTCGAGATTAACCTCACTTTTTCTTCATAGCCTCGTCCACTTTCCAGATTTCCGAGATCCTCGTCTCGGGTGGGGAGATCGGCAAGGGGAACAGTAAAAAAAAATGAAAAAGGAAAAAAAACTCTCAGGGCCAGATGCACACAAGATCTCACATGGTATGTTGTCTAATTCCGTCGCTTAATTCTTTTTTTAAGAGTGGGGAGGGGGGCAGAGAGAGAAAGGAAAAGTCAAGGTCCCATTGTGTGGTTCAAGATAGTGGTTCTCACTGTGGCCCTAGGTACCCTCCCTCCCTCACTCACCAGCCCCCCTTTAGTCTCTTACTTAGTACTCTGTGGAAAATCCCCCACCCTGCAATCGAAACCTTCTACATATAATTGTCCGTCAAGGGGCCCCCAATCTGGTCCCATGGTTCAACTCGTCCTGGATGGTGCGCCCAGCGTGGCTGTTTACCCTTGATCTGGCGGGCTTGATTGGCCTGTACAGGTATTTGTGGGCTTGAGTACATAGTAGTAGTTTTTTGGCGCCAGATCGCTTTGACTAACAACGGTGAACGTCCGAGCACTCCAAACCTTTGCTTGCTGCATATGCTGTTTGAGGTATAACTCGGTTTCGAATTCCTTGTGTCTCATGCAGTTTGAAGTCTGTCATGTTCGAGCTAGGTAGTTGGTCCGATGGGGTATGGTTACACAGGGTCTGGGATTACTCCCTCATGGTTTGTGGCGTGAATGGTATTGTAATTACGAGTTGGGTCTGACAGGTATCGATTGACATGACATGACATTGAGCCAAGTCTGGGTCCTTTATATACATACAGATAGGTCTCATGTGTGTATATACTACTATATATATAGATGCTATCACACTTATACACCTAACTATGTTGTGGTTGTCTCTCGTCCTTGTCAAGCATATACTTCTATACTGAATGTCATCAGTCTCAACAACCACCCATCATGTGACATCCGCTTATCTAATCCCACGTGACCCCTCCACGACGTCGTCCAAACAAACGGTTGAAGCTTTCCCCGGAAAGAACCGCCAACAAGGAGGGCCAAGGCACGATGTCCAACGCTACATCAGCGCCGAGTTCAAGTGAACGTGTAAATTGAGTTCCAATATATATCTCCTCGCATGCTTGCTATGCACTCCGCAAAGCCAGGTAACCTCGCGAAAACATCTGGAACATGACATCCTCCGAACAATGGGGGACATTCCTCCAACAATGTTTGCTCCACCGGATCGATGCCGCGGAGTTCAAGAACCTCACGCGGCTGCTGATGCAGCGCTATCCCATTGGTGAAGCCCAGCTGCTAGATGTGTTGCTGGAGACGCGCCTCGCAACGGGGATTAAATGGGATCCCCTGCCCCCTTTGTATATTGACTGTCTGTGCAAGATGGGATTGGTGCGGACTTCGACGATGTTGAATTCGTTGCTCAAGCATTCGTCTATTCATGATAAGTTGCCGTCGGCGGGTGATTCGGAGACGAGTGCTGCTGCTGCGGCTGCTGCGCAGGGAAAGCAGAAGCGGAAGTGTTATACTCTGATGACGGATATCAGGGTGGTTCAGGACGCTATGCTATCTGTTTCGACGGGCACTGCTTCTAAGACTTTTGCTGAGGCGTTGAGTATCTTTGCGTCCATTGTTGATTGGATTCAGGCGGTTGTGGCTTGGCATCATAGTCATTTGGATACCAGTCATCAAACGGGCGGGTTGATGAGTTCACCTGATGCGGTGTCGTTGTTTGAGAGTCTCGGGATTCTGCTTGCGGCGCTTTCGGGGACGGCTAAGGGTTTGGAGGTTCTTTCGGCGGATTCTCATGAAGGTATTATATCATTTTCTTCTAATATCTGGAAAGTACTGACGGGTCGATAGCGCTGAAGATAAAGCTTGGACAGGCTCTATCGGCGTATCTTCCCCTCTGCGTGGAAGTATCGCTGCCGCTCCGTAACCGGTTGGATAGCCTGCAGAAGGAGTTCAATCTCTTTGGAGAGCCTTCGTCGAAAGCGTTGGATGTTTCCATGATGGAAAATGTCAATGTCAATGCGCTTCAGTTTGAGGATTCGGTCATGGACGGGCCTGTGATTAATTCCAGAGCAGGTCTCTATGTGTATATCAATGCGATGGTATTTGAGATGCTGCACTATTGCTTGAATATTACTAACTGGATTCTAGCTTGTGGGCCGCCCCTTGGTGGATGATAGCATGCTGCTCAATTTCCTGTCCAATAGATACGGCGTCAGTACAATCTCGTCTTTATCAAAGCATTAGCTGACCATCGCAGGGACACTATCAAGTTCTCATCGAGGAGCTCATAACGGCGTCGTTTGATGTCCTATCGAATGCCAGCTACCGCAACGAGTCTAGCCGAACTATGTTCTTGTTCCGCTCGTTTCTGGTGAACAAGCTTCCCACCTTCATCGCGGCTATGTTGGCAGCCTCTATTGTGTCGTTGCCGTTGCCGATGGAGCTTTGCATCAGCCATGCTTTGAGCCGGCTCGATCCAAACACATTCCCATCGTTCTCGCAGATGTTTGCTATGCAAAGCAACACGGTCTTGTCCGATGTGCGACAAGAGTTTTTGTTCGCTTGTGCCTCGCACAAGTTAATTCCCGAGTCGAGTATCGAGCGCCTGTTGGGCGAGAACCCAATGCAGACTCTCCCTGTCGGCGGCCCTTACAACAAGGATGAGCTCGTCTCGCAGATCAACGCCAATCCGGAGCGCGCAGAGCAGTTGATCAATGAGATTGAGTCCATGGAGGGCAACGCAGGTGCGATAGTGGGTGCTATTACAGATGTAGGTCCTCCAGTAATTTGGTTGCAATCAAAGGTTAACGCAACTAGGTCATGCACCATCTCTGCAATCAAAAAGAGACCATGACGTTGAAAAACATCTGCAACTCACTGTCCCGTCGGCCGCAGGCTCTGGACGTGATTTTGCTCTTCCGGAGCTTGAAGCAAGTACTACAACCGCTCTGCGCTCTGCTAGACGCCTGGCACTGGGACGAGGACCAGGGTGAAAGCCAACCGGTCTACGACGAGTTTGGAAGCATTCTTCTACTCGTACTGACCTTCAAGTTCCGATACGATCTGCGACCGCAGGACATGGGAATCGGAGGTAGCAATTCCTTCGTCTTGCGACTGCTTGAGAACGGCTTTTGCAGCCAGAAGCTCGATGACCTCAGCGAGAAGCAGAACAAGAATCTCGGATCCTGGATCAACGCCCTATTTATGGCCGAGGGAATCAGCGAAGAGACCATGTCCGCCTGCAGTCCACAGGAATTCTACATGCTAGTGACTACACTTTTCAACCAAAGTCTCAGCGCATGCGAAGCAGGAAAGCTCGACTTCGACACCCTCAAGGGCGGCTTCGAATGTAAGCCCTATACACCCTACCCTTTTCCCCTCGAAACTACTAACAACACGCAGACCTCCTAGAACCCTTCCTCCTCCCATCTCTCATCCTCGCCCTAAACTGGCTCGGCAACCACATCTGGGAATACGAAAGCGACCCCTCCATCCCCCTCAAAGCCCTCCACTCCCTCATAAGCCCGAGCTCCATCTCCGGCGAAGCCAAAGAAATCCACCGAACCGTCCTCAACATTACAGCCCGCTCCCTCGAAGAACAACTCAAGAGCATCCG